TAAAACAGGATTGGACAAGTCCATGCAAGATAATGGCCATGAATGGCAATTAGTCTTGATGGCTATTAGTCTTGATGACTGTGTGTTCCCTCCAGTATCAGAGACAGCTTGCCTGAGCAGACCAGTTGCTGGGGAACGTAGTTGGAGGGATGCTCTTGTACTCACATCCCACTTGTGAGTCTCCCATAGGTAGCAGGTTGGCCACTGTGTCAACAAAATCTCATTATATATCAGATGAAACTTTGGCCTGGTCCAGCAGAGCTTTTCTTATATTCTTAGAACTCTTTATGAGTTAAAATAAACTTCACCTGGATAGCTGACCTCATACCTGGAGATTCTGGATCTATAAAGGGGAGGCTTATTCACTGCTGTCAGTGAGCTAAAAACGGTATTGAATATAGCTGTGACTTGGTACAGAGGATGTACAATCTACACAGGATGGGCGAGATGTGACAGATGAGTTTTGGATGGGCAGATCAATAATGTGTGTGAGTTGGAGACTAAGTCAGGTCCTCCATTCCCGGCCTTTGCATACATGTGTCTGTAACTCTGGGGTTGAGCCCCAAGGATGCAGGAGGGGTGCGCAGACACCAGAAGGATGAAGCTGCAGTCTTCCAGGTCTTTCTCAATGGATTCTTCACTTTGTCAAGGGGAAAGTGCCTCAGCTCTCCAGGGTGACAATAGACTGGGCTTGAACTCAGGCCCAGGGCCCAAATCCTGCTTGCCTGGGCTCCCAGCCCAGCCCTCAGAGGGCCAGCGCCCTCTTTTCTGCAGCACTGGGTGGTTCCCACTCTCATTCCTGAATTGGCGGGAGGTTTTCCAGCTTGTGCACAGCTTTCCCTCCTAAAGGGCTGGATACCTCTCCTGAGGCTTAGAACTTTTCTACATGAACCTTGTGGAACTCTATGACAAGGTTTCGAGGTTGCTAGTGGATGTGGTTTACCTGGATTTCAACAAGGGCTTTGACAAAATGCCACATGATATCCTGGTTGAGAAATTGAGGAGTTTTGGGATAGACCCATCTGACAGATTAGGGCAGGGTTGATGAACCGAAAGCAGAGGGTAACTATTAGCAGGGAGTCATCAGGATGGCGGCCAGTGACAAGAGTTGTCCCCCAGGGCTCTGTCCTGGGACCGATCCTGTTCAATATTTTCATCAATGACTTGGAAGAGTGGGTGCCCAGTCTGCTGCTGATCAAATTTGCAGATGATACTAAAACGGGAGCAGTGGCCACAACTGAGAAGCAGGTACTCCAGATCCAGAAGGGTCCAGACAGACTATGGAAGTGGGCAGGGGACAACAGGATGGCATTCAGTGTGGATAAGTGCAAGGTCTTGCACTTGGGGATTAGGAATGGGCATCATAAGTACAGGTTAGGGGACAAGTGGCTGAAGAGCAGCACTTGTGAAAGGGATCTCGGGTCAACTGCAGGCTAGATATGAGTCAGCAGTGTGACGCAGTGGTCAAGAGGGCAAGCGCCACCCTTGGGTGCATAGCCAGAAGTGTGGCTTCTAGGTCAAGAGAGGCATTACTGCCACTCTGTATGACTCTGGTGCGCCCACAACTGGAGTATTGTGTTCAGTTCTGGGCTCCACATTACAGGAAGGATATAGCCAGGTTGGAATTGGTGCAGCGTAGGGCCACAAGGATGGTGGCCAGATTGCAGGGAAAGCCATATGAGCTGAGACTGAGGGAACTGGGTCTTTTCAGACTGGAGAAAAGACCGAGGGGATCTGTTGCCAACATATAGGTATATGAGGGGGTGCCACATGGAGGTCAGTAAGACCTGTTCTCCCATGCAGAGATGGGCAGGACGTGTTCCAACGGAGCCAAGCTCAGGGAACCAAGGTTCAATTTGGATGCCAGGAAGTAGGCATGTCGGGAGCAGAGCTGGGGGTCAGACTAGAGGGCCTGGGAGGGTCCTTCTGACTTGCTCTGTTTCTATGTTCCGTTTACCAGTCACCAGGGATTCCTGCCTCACAGTTGTTGGTGGCTTCTTTGGATAGTGCCATGAATGGTACTCCATGTTCACTCCTGTTTTTTAAAAGCACTTTCTGTGGGCTATTTATTTATTTTAGAGTGTGATGAATGTGGCATTATTTTTGATGCTAAAAGAAACTGTATTTTCCCACCTGTGTATCTGTACATTTTCCCTATAGTACTGCAGGTCATGTAAGAAAACCACAGGAAATGAAAAGTTCTTTGTCTAGCATCCTGAACCCAGTTCCACAACAAAGCCAAAAGTAGAAAAGCTCTTACTGGCAGTAAGAACTTGAAGCTAAAATACACCCATCTTTTCTGCATTTTGACCCCATCCATTTTGTCCCTGGCCCACCCTGCACTAGAATGTGCCCCCCTCCCCAGCATCTCCAAAACTGAATTCAGTCCCTGAGCCCCTGCTGCAAACGGATTCCCAGAGCCAAGGTTTTGGAGGATTGCACCTGACCTATTTTCCCAGTTAGCTTACCAAGGGATAATTGGCACGTGAACGTGAACAGGCAGCGAAGGGCAAGTCTCCCAGGTCTTCAGCTGAAGTTATATCAGCCCAGCGGCTTCCTTCAGTAGAGGCTTTACTCAAGTTGCCCACAGAGGCAGCCAGAGACCTGCACTCATAGCATGCTTGAGTTCCATTGTAATGCAGCTGCTGCTCTGGGCAGGCAGGGAAGGCAACACCGAATGGCTCCGCATGCAGCACAGGACAGGTCCTGATGCTGGTGTGGTGGGGGCTGGCAGGGGCTCTGAGCAAATGCCTTCCCCAAATGCAAAGGCCGCCAGCTTGAAAACAGGACTTTTGCGGGATTCTTCCTCTGGGGACAGAACTGAGCTCGGACAGTGCAGTTCAGCAAGCGGACCCGTGCCTCACTTCTGCAGCAGCTGCGGCTCAGGGAGTGAAAAACAGACTGCAAGTTAATTTATGAGGTGAGTATATCCCCTCCGCTCTGATCCCTGCTTGCTAGGAGATGATCATAAAAGCCTAATAGTCTGACATTTTTATGATCGCACAGGGACACTATAAAAACTGGACAATCTCTAAAGGTGTGGGGAAATGGTAGGGTCTTGGGGAGGCGTTCTAGGAATTAGGGAATTGGAAAGATCTTCCTTGTATCATGTTTCCTGCCCTTCACCATGGACACCAAAGCCTGCATCCTCCCTCACAAGCCAGACGCCTCCCAATGACCCTTGCCGGCTGCTCTGATGTCCTGACAAACCTTTTTATTTAATTATTATTTTTAAAATTAGCATTTTATTGATTCACAATTGCTTTTGCATTGTTCTAATTTGATTTATTTGTATTGGTGTTTGGTAAGCAACAGTGAGAACTGGACACGGAACCACTGATTGGTTCAAAACTGAGAAAGGAGTTCGGCAAGGCTGTGGCTGGATGGAGTCACTGAAGCAGTTGGCGTGAGCTTGAGTGGACTGCAGGGGATGGTGGAGGACAGGGAGGCCTGGAGGAGTGTTGTCCATGGGGTCGCGATGGGTCGGACATGATTTCGCGTCTAACAACAACAAATTTTATTGTACTGTTTTATTGATTGTTTTCATGATTATTGGTTTTAATCTTGCAAGCCGTCCTGAGATGCGATAGTGAAGGATGGCATATAAATATTTTAAATAAATAAAAAATAAATAAATCGGGAAAAGACGTGTGTCATGTATGATTTCAGCTGCAAAATATATAGTATAATTGTTTCTGGTTATATAATTTGATTGTTTCTTTAGCTTGAACCAACACCCCATTCTGTGCTTTACTTTCCTTGACCCAGGAGAACATTTGGAGAAAAATTATGTGTGCATGCAAGAAAATGGAATACTTGCTTCTGTATGTTCTGGAAATTCCAGCCTTTGAAATAAGCATGGAAAAACAAAGGAGATTGGCTGGAATTGATTCCAAATATGTGAATGGAGGTTTTGATCTCTAAGGGGTTTTGTTTCCCAGGATTATTTCCATTATTTTAAAAATAGTTCAGAATAAATTAAGCATTTGATTTTACCCAAATAAAGACTTTACCAAAATTAAATGTGTGCATACTATGAATTTATGTTCATAGCATCAGAACATATTCACATAAAATGACACGGCGTGGCATAAAGTAAAGCTGTTAATACTACCTGCAGGTTATTGGGTTGTTTCTTTTGTTTTTAATTAATAAGTATTATTTTGGAGGCATGTGTTTTTCCGACTTTTTCTACCTTTCCTCTCTAGCCAGCTTGTGTATTTCAGTTCACTTAATTATGTCGACCTACTGCCATGTCTCAATTTCTCCATCTTAGAATGTTGTGTTTGATTCTTCTTAGAACTCCTCTCTGTCCTCCAATTCTTTCTATATATTCCAGCCATCTGGGAAACTGCTACATGAAATCAAATATCAAGCCTGGAGAAGGAATTATTTCAATGAACAATGGAAGTTCTTTACTTCAAAGCTCTGAATAAGGAGTTCAGTGTGGAGGCTTCGGTGAGTTCTGGCTACCTGCAGGGAACTTGGGTTGTATCATAGGTAGGTTTGGGGTTATTGAATTAATCTTAATTTAGAGCTGACACACACAATCTAACCCTGGTCCTTTGGAGAGCTGTTGGACTGCTCTTGAGAACGCTCCAGTATTTGTCCAGTTCTTGAGTGACTACCTTTAACCCATCTCTGGAAAGAATGCAGACTATGGTGAACGGTGATTTAGACATACATGCATACAGTCAGCATTACTAAGTGGTTGGAAAGCCAATTGACTTGACTTCATTCTGTACAACATATTGTGAATGAAGCCTGTACTTTTTCTTGTAACAGGGACAGAATTATGAATGTGAGCTCAGGATGCTTTGTTTTAATAGAAGAAAATCAAAGTGTACTCAAATGTCCTTGAATTATTCATTTAAACATGAATGTTGGATTCTTTTCCTGCCTGGGGTATCTTTAACAACCATACATTTTTCTTTGCTTCCCTCATTCTCGTTTCCCCAGCTATTGTCTCTGTCTGCTTATATTTGTTGAACACTATGAAAATGTTGAATGGCACTTCAGCTCCTGAGTTCATCCTGCTGGGTTTCCCTGAGCTCCAAGAATTCCGGTTCCTCTTGTTCATCACTTTCTTGGTGGTCTACCTCTTTGTACTCCTTGGCAATGCCTTGATCATTCTTATCTCAAAGATGGACATCGGCCTGCGCATCCCAATGTATTTCTTCTTAAGCAACTTCTCTTTCTTAGAGATGTGCTACACCTCAGTCACGGTCCCCCGGCTTCTGGGGGACTTCCTCACTGGCCCCCATGCCGTCTCCCTCTGGACATGCCTTACTCAGATGTATTTCTTCTTCTTCTTTGGCACCACGGAATTCTTCCTCCTGGCCACCATGGCCTTTGACCGATATTTAGCCATCTGCCACCCCCTGCAGTATCCAGTACTCATGGACAACCATGCCTGCATTTCCCTAGCCTTGGGGTCCTGGTTGAGTGGCTTCCTGACGCCCTTCTTACCCATAGCTTTCATCTCCCAGCTCCCCTTCAACAGTAGCAACCAACTGGACCACTTTTTCTGTGACACAGGACCCTTGATCAAGCTGTCGACTGGTGACACCTTCATGGCCGAGGCAGTAGTCTTCCTGGTCTCAGCAGTGATTGTGCTCCTGTCGTTCATTCTGACTTTGATTTCTTATGCCCTGATTGTTTCTACTATCTGCCGTATCCCATCTGCTTCGGGAAGACACAAGGCCTTTTCCACATGTTTCAGCCACCTCATGGTGGTCACTATCTTTTACGGCACGGTCATCTTCATGTACCTCTGCCCTCGTTTTGGCCAGGCTTCTGAGACTGACAAAGTTGTATCCGTGTTCTATGCCGTCCTCACTCCAGTGCTGAATCCTATCATCTACACCCTGAGGAACAAAGATGTGAAAAGAGCCTTAAGGAAGGTGCTCAGCCAGGTGAAGAGCACATGACTGAGGCAGAGAGAAGACGCTCTCTTCACTGTAGCCTTCGCACACCTGCATCCCTCCAGATGTGCTGGATGACTCCTCCCATAATTCCAGCCATGTTGACTGTGAATTGTAGGAATTGCAGCCCAACATATCAGAGGGGTATAAGGTTGGGAAGGCTGCCTTTCATTGCCATGAATTTCAGCACACAGGTGTTGGATGCATGCAATCCATTGAAAGTGTGCATCTCTGAATTTTCTCCAAGGAATATTGTACTCGTAAGACAAATGCTTGTTTCATGCTTAATGTTTGTAAGCTGACTGGCTAAATAAAAAAATAAAATTTAGTTGGGATTAAAACTCATTTTTTCCTAATGGGCCATGAATATAACCTAAGACTAATTTCAACAAGCATATTACCAGCACGTGTTGTTGCAGTGACAGATGCTACAACGAAGCCAAATTGCAGATACTTATCTTTTCTGCAGTATGAATATCTCCTTTCCATGAAATGTTTCTGATAAATTTGTATTACATGGCCACTAAAACAGCTCAGATTTACCAAGAAGTGCACACAATGTAATAGGGATGGAAAACTTACAGTGATGCTAGTAGGCGACCAGAAGCAAACCGATAAAGCACCATAGTAATGGGAATAGCATTTGGGCCCCTGATTCGGATATAAGGTCAGCAGAAGCAGATGCTCCTGGTTTGCTGGACTTTATTGCTTCAGGTTGTAGAAGGGCACTAGATTCCTGCATGCTGCTCTGGTGACGCCTGGGTATCTATCCATATCTGTGACGGGCAAATAGCATGACAAGAAGAGGGTTCTGGCATTGGTTTCTTACAGATACACCAGTTTTCTACGTGCTGGGCTTTGTATGTGTATGCATGTGATCACACAAATCCTTCTCTCTGCAATCAGAACTGACAAGGTCCAACAGCAGCGCTTGCTTCTCTGCCGATTGTGATGCGCAGCTTGAAAGGTCTACAGAGAACAGGGGCTGGAAGCCAGTTTCCTGTTGTGCCTGGCAAAGATGGCGAGGAAAACCTTAACAGGAGGCTCCTTGCTCCTGATTAAAATGTGGTGAGGCTGTGGTGTGGTTAAAATTCTTCTCACTGTGGAGTTGGATGCCACAGAACCTAGTTTCCTACTGGGTTGTGCGTACACAGGGTGTATGCAGCATAAATGGCCATTTGCTGCCATGGTAGGTGGTAATTAAAACTGGAGATCTGATTTCAAAGTCAAGTGTCCTGATTGTCCAAGCCCAAGTCAAATCATGAGGAATGCGGGACTTTCTGTTGTTCTGTAGCAGAGGTAACAGCTTCTTCTAAACTCACAGCAATGAGGTTACTTAATTAGCTGATACTTCCCCATAATTTTCTACCTGGTCATTCTATTGGCGGTGCCAGAAATTGAACCTGGAAACTGAACCTGGGGGCTGAGTATGTGCTCTGTTATAGAACCTCCCCCAAAAATGGTATAAGGGAAAACATTCCACTTTCAGTATTTAGTTAGCTCTGAAGACACAATGTATCTCATTGTTCTGTGCCCACATTTTCCTCAGTTTCTGTCAAAGCGAAGTTAACAGGTGCCTTTGAGGGGACAAGGGCACAGCTGAGCACAGCCAACAGATAAAAGATCCAGCCGCAAGCATCTCTATCACATGACACAGACTACTAGAGATAACAGCACTTTCCCCATCAAGCCCAAAATATTTTCAGTCTTGTAAATCTTTTCCCCATGAATTATTGCATAGCTTGAAAGGTTGGCTCATAATGAGAAGGGGCTGCTCCTTTTCCTTAAACCTGTGAACTGATTTTGTTGGAGTTGCCTTGCCTTATTTGTGGTTTGTCTCTCCATTCTAATGCTAAAGGGCTAGTATCCATTTCTATTAATGGGAGACCATATTTTAAACAAATTGCTGATTGCCATTGTCTTCAAGAGACTTTGAGGAGATCATAGGAGTCCACATGAATCAAATGATATATTTTTTTCCTCTTGAACCACCGAGATGAAAAGATAGATCAGACAGCAAGCTTTTCAGTTACATATCCCTACTGTCTGAATGTTTTCCATGTTGCCCTACAAATAAGTTTGTAAAAATACATTGCTTCAAGCAGTTTGTTTTCTTTCAGTGCCTTTTACAGTAAGCATGACAACTGCTGATGTGGTTACGAATTAACCTTGGCTAATGGTGTCAGTGGAGGCTGTAGCCTCACAGGTGGCGCACACTGCAATATTTCCAGCAGGTACTTCTAGTTGTAGGATGCAACAGACTGGCCTGGTGGCAATTAAATAAGCGGGTGCCATAGAGCTGAAATCAGTAGCAACTTTCTTGGGTTGCTCTTAAGATCTTACCTCTGCCATGGGCTGGAAAGTATTTTCCTCCAGATCAGATTGGGAGGTGACCCAGGTTTTTTGCTTGCTCCAGAAGAACAGTTTGACTTACTTGCATGAGTCACTTGGAGCCATTGCTGAAAAAGCACCTATCATAAAGCATCTGATGATACTCTTCTGGGCTACACAGATTGATCTGTCGTAAGTGGCTGTTGGACTGTGTGGCTATTTGGACCATGCTAAGTTCTCTGTATGGCTTTCCACATGTTGCTGTCCCCGAACCAAAAAGAACATCAGATTTCTAGTCCTTACATTTGTAAAGAAAGGTTTAAACATGTATTAACTGTGCATCTGAAACCCAGAAAAAGCATGAATCAAACAGAAAGCTTAGTTTCACCATTATCATTAGGAACAGAAAAGGGAAAAAGTTAATAGAAGAAGAACCTTCATGAGAATTTTAAGCATGTGGATTGAAGGACTTGCTATACTCAGCGGGTATCAGGAGCAATCCAAAACATTTCTGCCTCTCCAGTCCACAATAGAAACCAGCAAAACTGGCTGTGAATTTTACTTCAAATCTGGCTAAAGTTCAGCTGGCAGCATGCACTTGTACACCAGTTGCTGGGGAACATGGGTGGGGGGATGCTGTTATGCTCATGCCCTCCTAGTGAAGTACCTGCGGACAATGGATTGCAGGTGTGTGAACAGAATGCTGGACTACATGGACCCTGAGTCTGATCCAGCAGGGCTCTTCCCACATCCTTCCGTTCCGAAAGCATCCCATATTTCTCAGCCTTCAGACGGTAATTGTCATTATTTGTGTGCTGCAGCCAAGTGAAGAGGTTCCTCTTTGAACAAACATCTGGCTCTGCTGTTATCAGATGATAAGCATGCGGCATCAAATGTGGTTCTTGCATAAGCCTTGGTGGAGAAGACACCCAGAGAACATCTCCGTATTTCCTCTCAGAAGTCCTTTTTAATGGTATCTATACATTCAATGTGCAAGCCACCAAATGATTACCGATCTAGTTATGTATGTGTTTGCAGGGAGCTGGACAAATTTCATTGACAAAGTACATCTCTGCATGCTCAGTTCCTGGCACTGCCCCAGAAAGAGGCCTGAGATACCACCGGCTGGGATCATTGGCTGGCTAGTTTAAGCAGTATTTGGCTAGATGGGCCACTGCTATGAGTGAGCAAATGGCAGCTTCCTCCTTTATAATAGATGCATATGCAAACTGGTTCTTTGAGCCAAAGACTCTGAATTCAGGAGCCCACAAGGATGCAGAGCCTCTTTCTGCCTGAGGGCTGAATCCAAAGCCAGAGAATCTCTTGGGCTACATTCCAGAGGCGGATAGGACTGCAGACAAAAAGGGGCAAGGCCAAAATGTTCAAAAATACAAAGAAGCCCCCAGGCAATTGTACCTTAAATTTCTTACTGCCAGAAATGAAGCTTTAGTAGAGGCACTTCAACCTTTTTGAATGGGGAAAATTGCGAACATGGTTGGAAAGAAGGCATGGCCAGAGGAAGGGGAGTGGGAATGTGGAGAGGCAATTGACTGACAGGCATGCGGCTCAACACCCATGCTGTACTTCAGTGAAGGGCACAAGCTGTACTAATTTCTGAACCCAAGCGACAGCCTCTGTACATCTGTTGATTTTGCATAGCTTGGCTCCATCATCAATTCACATGGATGTTGCAGCCATCCGGGAAATTAGAAGAAGCCAGAGACTTGGAAGAGCAGCAATGAAGGAACTAGACAAGATCATCAGGTATAAGGCCGTTTCACTGGGGAGTAAGTCTGCGCTCATGCACCCTGTGGTTTTCCTGGTGGCTACGCATAGTATGAAAGCTGGATAGTGAAAGAAGCAGACAGGAAGAAAAAGGGTGTGTTTGAAACGTGGTGCTGGAGGAGAGCTGTGTGAATGACTGAACGGAGGACAAACAAATGGGCCCTAGATCAAACCAGAACTTTCCCTGGAAGCAAAAATGACGAAACTTTGGGAGCATCATGAGAAGGCAAGACTCACTGGAAGGAAATAATCCTAGGGGAAATTGAAGGTAGAATAAGAAAAGAAAGACCAAATATGAGATGGATTGACTCCATAAAGGAAGCCACAGCCTTGTGTTTACATGAGCTGAGCAGATCTGTCAAACACAGGACATTTTGGAGGGCCCTCATTCATAGGGTAGCTGTAAGTCAAAGATGACTTGACAGCACATCACAACAACAAATATATCTGCTGATTTTGTATTTTTGGGCTCCTTAAGCACATGGATTTGTTCAGTTGCTGGAACCCAGCAAACGTGTGCCCACTGCCTCCCCCTGCATCTCACCTGTGTGCCTTGGTATTCCCCAGGTGCTCATTAGACAGCTGCTGCCATCTATAGGTGGTTCTGTTCCACACAGTCAGGGTGACAGGGATGCTTGTGCAACACTCTCACAATTGCTCTGGGCATCGTCTGTCCTTGGAGGTCCAAGGTCATCCAGCACTGATGACTGGGAGGCAGCGTTGTTAAAGAAGGACAGGAGGCCATTTCAGGTCTTCTTGTCAGCAGGAGAAGAGCAAGGCAGGCAGAGCTGGGCAGCTGGATCATGGAAGTGGGGATGGTGAGTACTGTCGCTAGCCTAGAAGGTCAACTGATTCTAGGGAATCTAGGCAGTTGCCAGGTTGGATGTTGC